CAGGGGCACTTTATCTAAAGCCCATTCAGTGAGCTTTAAAGTGCCCCTGCCACCCATTTTGAAACATGTGGCTGCTGAATATATGAGATGTTGCAGCATTCTGGAGCATTCTGATTAGAACGTTGCAGCAGACTCAATTAATCTGATTAATCAAATCTGCTCCAACACATTCAAATAAGAATGCAGCGGAGCACATGTAAAAGTGCCCTATATTTCTTTATCAGTCCAACCTAAAAATAATAAAATCTTAGAATCTAGAATTTAAAAAGATGTCTAAAATAGTTAAATCTCTCCTACTTCCTTTCTACTGCAATATTATTCTCTATATTTTTGTTTTGCCCAATTAATTTTAAATGTGCCAAATGATAGGGTTTGTTCAGTGACTTAATTGGGGAGCACTAACAGATTGAATTATATAGCAGGAACTTTCATCGTGATCTTCACCCTGAATTTCTTTTCCTTGTTTTCTTACTACCACACATACTCCTTTGTCCCTCCTTTTATCACTACCTCCTTTCACTCTTTGGTGTACATATCCTTCAAATGTTTCTAGATCATTAAGGACCCTCTTTTATTGTCTTTTAGTCAAGCGTTAGATATTAAACTCTTTTAATCTTTACTTACTATAAGTCAATCACTTCAGTCCCGCAATCTTTTTTGTTGCTATAGTCCCTCCAATTCATCAATATATTTCTGGTAATGAGGTACTCAGAACTGAACACAGACTTGAATCTTATCACTATATATTTAAAGTAGTTCTATGAGATAGCTTTTAACTCAGTGAACAAAGACTTCACAATGAGAAATCGGTCAAGCTGAAGTATTAAGAAGGTTACATTTTGCTCTTGAGAAATTCTCCACTTGCTTACACAGTGAGAGGGTGAATTTTACAGGAAATAATGGCTACATCTGAACAGAATTAATGGAATCAGACATGATGTCTTCCAATACTTGTAACCTACACAAGTTGAGAGAAGACCTCAACCATAAAAGCCAGTATGTATGAAAAATAAAATGAAACCATACATTTTAAAGATAATGATCAAAAGATAGGGGAAAGGAGAAAATCACTATGATGATGAACACTTAGTAACACTGAACTGGGGCTCAGTCCAGCCAGACACACTGCACTCTCAACTCCAATTCATGTTAATAGCAGTTAAGGGAATCAGCTCTTTGATAAAAAAATCTTTAGGAAATCAAAACCAAAGCAGCAAATCCTGAGAGTTACTAAGCACTATATGAGCTCCTTGCAGCTCCTAGACAGCCATATCCTCATGACCATTGAGCACTTACACTGACCAGTCACCTCATTGCAAGGTGTAATATTTAGCAGGAGCTCAGAATCTCTCAGAATTACAGTAATTAATGACCAAAGAATGTATTACAAAACTAAAATGACACATTAGTAATAGTGTTCAAACAGCTGGCCAGGTACTCCCCCACCCCTCAATTATTTTCTGTCAGAAAGCTAGTGAGCTGCATTAGCCTGAAGTCAGGCAGAAGACAGGGGAATATGGGACCTTATGGACTAACTCATGCAGACAGGCATGACAGTGTTTCATAACCATACAAAACACTACTCAGAAGTAAATTTGCTACCTGCAAATGCAAGTAGCAAATTTACTCATGAGGAGTTACTGCATAGTAATGCACATTTAGATGCCAACTGGGAGCCAGGGCTCTGGGCCTGGAAGCTGCTCCTACCCCAGGGCTGCACTGGCTCCCTGGCAGCCCCAGCCTCAAGCCCTTAAAAGCCTGCAGGCAATCAGAGCTATGGGGCACATGCAGGGAGCCTGAGGCCACACCGGACACTGTATCCCCCTGCACAGGCTGCAGACCAGCTATGCCAGCCTGCTGTACCCTGGCACCACTTCCTGGCACCACAACGCTGTGCAGTTGCCAGAGCCATGCCATCTAGGCCTGCAAGGTGCTACAGGCTCCTGCCAAGCCTGCCAGCACCCAGGCCCAGCTGTAGGCAGCTCTTGGCCACTTGTGCCAGCTCCAGCTGCCCACAGACCACCTCCAGAAGCCTGCTCTGAGCCTGCAGGTGCTGGGGCGGGGGTATTGCCTCACCACATGGCTGCCAGTCCTGCACCATGCCTCTGTGCTAAGCACTGCAGGAAGCTGCCCAGGCCCAGCAGGAAAGAGACAGCTACCTAGAGACCCAGAAAGCCAGTGTGGGAGCCCTGATGGCCCCATTGCTGATGCCACACCCTGCTTCCCAGGGCTGCAACTGGTCACAGGAGGAGATTGGTGACGTTGTGGTGCTGTAGGGCAAGGTGGAAGTGCACCACCAGTTCACACAGGGTGGGTGCTCCAACACCCACATCTACAAAAGGCTGTCAGGCCAGATATAAAAGCACAGATATGACTAGTCAGCACAGCAGTGCCACACAAAAATCAAGACCTTGTGGGTACAATGGATTTCTATCTTCGGCAACAACTGTCAGCCATGGAGTGCCCACAAGGCCATGTCCTTTATGCAGCAGTTGACAAACATCCTCACACCCCAGGACCCAGGCCACAGCCATGCTGAATACAGCAGCACAAGCAGCCTGCACAAGCCCCTGCCACAGCCTGGCACTCACAGTGATGTGCAGGGATACTGGTTTTGTCTAATAAGAAAATCCCCAATTTTTGGATAAAAAAAAGTAACCCAAAATCCACATTTTTCCATGATTAAAATGAAACACCACTGTATGTGTGTGTGTGTGTATACATACATACATATATATATATGTATGTATACACACATATATATATATGTATGCACACACACACACACACACACACACACACACACACACACACACACACACACACACACAGAGTAGAAGTTATGTTACCTGGCATCTTACAAGCCAGCATGCTCCATTAACCAGCATGCCAGCTTGTAAGATAAAGTGAAACTGGAAGTGTCCACCATGGCACTTCTGGTTTCTCTGAGCTGCCATTGCTCAGGGGCATGGGGCATAACAGGCTGTGCAGGACCCACCTCCCTGTACAGCGGGGCCCACAGAGAGGGGTGGTGATGCTGTGAGAGAGGCAGAGGGATGCCTTAGACATGGCGTGAGAAGCAGTGGCCAAGGCTGCTCAATTAACTGGCATATTTTTTTATCCGGCATCCCCCGTTCCTGGTGAGTGCTGAATAACACAGCTTTTACTCTGTGTGTGTGTGTCTATGTACACACACACACACACACACACACACACACACACACACACACACACAGAGTAGAAGTTATGTTACCTGGCATCTTACAAGCCAGCATGCTCCATTAACCAGCATGCCAGCTTGTAAGATAAAGTGAAACTGGAAGTGTCCACCATGGCACTTCTGGTTTCTCTGAGCTGCCATTGCTCAGGGGCATGGGGCATAACAGGCTGTGCAGGACCCACCTCCCTGTACAGCGGGGCCCACAGAGAGGGGTGGTGATGCTGTGAGAGAGGCAGAGGGATGCCTTAGACATGGCGTGAGAAGCAGTGGCCAAGGCTGCTCAATTAACTGGCATATTTTTTTATCCGGCATCCCCCGTTCCTGGTGAGTGCTGAATAACACAGCTTTTACTCTGTGTGTGTGTGTCTATGTACACACACACACACACACACACACACACACACACACACACACACACAGAGTAGCCAATTACCCATCAAGAATGACAGGAGAGAGGGAGGAGAGCAAGTGGGGATGGAACTGTGTGCCCCCCGCCCAGTCTGGGCCCACTCTCCACTTCTCTCCTGTTGCTTGATAGAAGGAGGGGAGGAGCAGCAGGGGGAGGGGACAAGCAGGCTTGGGGCTGACAACAGGGGGTGAGAGAGGAGTGGGCCCAGGCCCAAGTGGAGGGAGGAGGCTCACTCCTCCTTTCCCCGAGATGCCACCACATTGGGCTGCATTGGGCTGGGCCCACTGCTTCCCCCCCACCACTGCAATGGTGAGCTGGCTTTTCCACCCACTCAGGCTCACTCTCCCACCCTTCACTGGGGCTAGGCTCACTCCTCCACTCCTCCACCAACACCACCACTGCCACGGTGCACCCACTCCTTCCCCACCGTGCCAGGCCCACTCCTCTCCCCACCACCACTGTGTCAGCCCTGCAGGCAGTGACAATGGAAGGGGGGAGGGGCCAGCCACAACAGTACCAGCTGCCAGCAGTGCCAGATCATCTCTGGGGGGCACACTGATCCTGGCCAGAAAAGCATTTTTCTTGAAAACCTTCAAACTGTCCTGACATGGAATGGAATTGTTTTTGTATTTTGAAAAGTTTTGTAGGATGAGGCGGTTCAGTTTTCTAGCCTGTCCCCACCTCAGAAGCATCAGTATGGTATGAT